TTAATATGAAAATTCATTTGTCGAATTTTTTACCCACTACAAACTACCTTAGGTTGATGAGGGAAAATTCTTATTGTTGTCACACCCTAAATAAATAATTTACAGAAAAGCTGCTCATTTTGTTTTACTTGTTTTGTTTATGGTTTAGCAAAGCAATTTCAATAAATTGTAAAATATTTTTATTAATAAAAGGATTTTGTAAAAAAAGTGTGTTAATTACACAGATTCTTTCCCATTTATTTATACTAGTTTCTCTTAATGTACAAGGTCAAGTCATATTTTAAAAAACTTTGAAATTTATTTAGGGGCGGTCATATATTAATCTTGATTTAATTGTTTGTTATATTCTTATCTTAATTAAATAGTCTGAAGAAAGTAAGTTTGTTAGATACTTATTACTCAAAACAATATAAACTTTTCGCTAAAATAAATCTTGGTGTGTAAGGTATTAGTAGCATTTTATCTTTAATTAAAATTAGGCATTGTTAAGTTAATGTAAAAAAAATATCATTTTCGTTATAAAAATTATCTTCTGCATCTCATGCTTGAATAAAATGGACAGTGTGATAAAAATTGAGAATCCAAATCCAATAGAAAAAGCTGGAGTAATTTCGAAAATATTTTTTGCGTAAGTACCAATTAATTATTACTGATAGGAGAAAAATTATTTATAATTTGAATACGAAAAAAAGTCTACCGTTGTGGAAATTAAACGTAAAATTGCTGAATAAATAAATAATTTATGGTGCTTTATATCTATTTTTTATCTTGTGGCGTAAAAAGTTATATTGCTAATGATAAAGCAAATTTGAACAAAAATTTCAATTTGTTTAGGTGACATTTAAACTTTCATACTATTGTGATAAAATGCCACGTTAATAATAGGTCNCGTACAAAATATTTACAAAACCAATTGTTAAAGTTTTTGTTTTTAGTTGGATTGTTAAATTATGTTACTCGGGTGTAAAAAGACCTTTGAATAAATCGGACCTGTACAAATGTCTTCGATCAGATGAATCTGAATTATTAACAGACACTTTAGAGAACGAATGGAAAAGGGAGTTAGAAAAATGCAAATTAAAAAACAAGCAACCCAGTCTTATGCTTGTTGTTTGCAAAATGTTTGCGGCATCCTATGTTCTATGGGGTTTGCTTGCATTTGTAGTTGCTGGAATAGTGAAGTATAAAAACTTAACAATCTTCTTATTTATCGCTTATATTTTTATTATTTATCTCTTATTATACTCAGTACATACATATGTATATAGAGGAGTTTTTCAAGCAGGGACGTAGCCAGGCTGCATTATCAGAACAGACTTACGTACATAAAATCAGGGCAGGCTCTAGGCCGGATTTTTTCACATTTAAATCTATATATTTTATAAAAGTTTCATTAATTTTGTTTATGGTAGGTGTTACATGTAATCCTACCTAGTGTTAATTTCTTAATCCTTTTTGTACAAATAAATTCGTAGCTAAGATTAGAAAATTTGTAAATGTCGGTTCTTCTGTATATTAATTTTTACTAAAGACAACTCAACGTATTGAGTTTCTGTACGATTTTGTCCGAATGCTAGAAGGATCAAATGGTCCATTCGTTGATGGTCGACCTTGTAAACTATCACTTACCTAAAAGAAATTCACGAAGATATACACAAACATTATCAATAAGGCCAGATATGGTTGAACTACTGAATGGTAACATAGGGGCTGGCTTGGCATACAACCTCGGACCAACGATGAATCCCAAAGATGTGCCAGAGTTGGCTTGGTGACAATCAATTTTCCAAATTTAAGTATAGAAAATACGTCCCCGGTCAATGTAAGTTTACCCAAAGGTGGCTCAAGATCAATCAGCCGAAGGTAATATAGCCAACTTTAGTCCAGGTCTGGCAAAGAGAAAACTACCCATCAATTATATACCTAACTTGGTCCAACCTTGGATGAACTCCGTCTTCAGCCAAAATTGGGCAACCTACTGTTGGGCAAAAGTTCACCCGATCGTCAACTCTGACAGTTCCTAACATGAGGAGCTGTAATCCCGTTACATTGAAGTAGATTGATAAATTTTCATCTTTAAATTATATTTTTCCATGTAGATGCAGTTAGGGATACAATTTCGAAAATCTTAACAGGCTGAGACAAACTCAAAATTTTCTAGGCGTAACCCTGGCTATGACCGTGCTTCCAGAGATGGGTATTTGTTTAAAAATATGCCTTATATCTTGTAGATCATTTCAACCGACGATACTGGGCTTATTTATACAACAATTTTCAAATAGCGGAGAAAATACCTTTCAAAATAAGCTTATATACGGAAGTGTTCTGGTATTTATATCTCTATTGTGTTCATTTTGTCAATATCAACTTGTCTTTAAATTCGCAATTATTGGTATGAGAATAAGGGTAGCATGCTGCTCCTTGGTATATCGAAAGGTTTGTTTTTTGTCACACTGTAATTTCAAAAAGGAAACAAAGATCAATTTTTTGATGTCTCATTTATCTATTTTCATTTCTTCTATGGTAATTAGTAATTATATTTGTTGATATAATTGAGACGATCGAAATTGGCACAGTCCGCAATGAATTATCTGTGAGAATGGACGTACTTTTGAACATCCTACTATTAATACAGGAAATGCTTCATGTGTAGTAGAGACTAAGTAAAAAAAGAGATAATCGAATAATAATATGAGGTGCAACGGTTAAATGTTGCTTAGGAAGGTAAAAGGTCAGAGTCGATTTTATAACTGCCTGGCTGGAATTATATCTTTAAACAAACGTTTGATTTCCTAAATTCCTTAGATTGTTGAATTTTTTTTAAAGTCCGATGCTGAAAACATGCTCAAATTTTTCTTATCTGCATTTCTTTCTGTTACACATCAATTGGTGTAACGTTATTCCGTTTTCATTATTGGTATCCGCTGCAATTCCTATCTGACGTCTCTTTTCTGTGTTTACGATATTCCCTATAACGTCTGTAGTAAGTAAAGTCAATGGGACAGTTTTATTGCGGACTATGCCAATTTGGAACGTTCTAACTATATCTATATAATTTCTTTCTTTAGTTTCAATCTAAATAAAGATCGAACATTTTCACACTCAAGTTTCAGTAAACGCTGTTTAAAGGCAGTCAGTAAATTGGTCGGCGTTCTCTTGGAACTGTCTGCAACGTGCTGATGACGCCTAAGGGCATCGAAATCGCGGTCCATGTCATGCAGTTTCAAGAAAACACTGTCTTTATTATTTTAATATCTCTTGTTTTTAATTATCAAAGAAAATAGTAGACAAATGCCGAGGTTAACACTTTTAGATTCTTAGACTCAGTACAAAATCGCTAAGGGAGACAGCAGCTGGTCAAGTCATTAATCTCTTATCAAATGACGTCAGTCGTTTCGACATAATCGTGCAGTTCCTTCATTTTCTGTGGATGATGCCTATACAGGTCGGTTTGTTGACTTATTTGATATGGAGGGAAGTGGGAATATCGTCCATTGCAGGGGTTATAACCATGCTTGTAATGACCATTCCGCTTCAAGGTAACTTGTAATCGCAGTGCGAATAAGATTCTAGAAATTATTCTAAATTTTCAGGCGTTATTACCAAATTTGCTTCCATATTAAGGCTGAAAGTAGCACAAAAAACGGACAGACGGATTAAACTGATGGATCAATTGATTGGAGGCATCCAGGTAATCAAAATGTACGTTTGGGAAGAGGCTCTAGCAGAAATCGTCAAAAAGGTTCGAGCAAGTGAAATAAGCAGTTTGACGAAGTTCTCGTATTTAAGAGGAATCTTATCCAGCATGTCCGTCTTCATGGAACGTTTTATAACTTTTATCACAATCATGTGCTTCACTCTTCTGGGGAACACCATAACTGCAGAAAAAGTGTTTGCCATTGCTTCCTTTTATAATGTTCTTCAGTTTACAACGGCTATCTGTTATCCTTTAGGACTATTACTTCTTTCTGAGTCGAAGGTTTCAATGAAACGAATCCAGACGTTCTTAGAACTCGAAGAAAAGGAAAAATCTAAAATAATAAGCAAAACTGACGGGGTAGTTTCTTTAAATAATGTTAACGCTTATTGGATTCCTGATACTCCAGTTTTATCAAAAATTGATGTCCAAATTCCTGCTGGCACTCTTTGCGCCATCGTGGGTCAAGTGGGCTCTGGAAAAAGTTCCTTGCTTCAGTTGTTGCTGGGTGAATTGACTTCTTTTACGGGTGATATTGAAATTGGAGGCAATCTCTCCTATTCTTCACAAGATCCGTGGATTTTTGAGTCTACTGTTAGAAAAAATATTCTTTTTGGGCAACGGTACGATAAAGTGCGATATGATCACGTTACGAGCGTATGTGCTTTAAAAGCAGACTTCAAACAGTTTCCGTACAGCGACAAAACGGTTGTGGGAGAGAAAGGGATATCACTGAGCGGAGGTCAAAGGGCGAGGATCAATTTAGCCAGAGCCGTTTACAGGCAAGCTGACATCTATTTGTTGGATGATCCGTTATCTGCCGTTGATACCAATGTGGGAAAACACCTTTTCGAGAAGTGCATCATTGGATATCTTCGAAATAAAACAAGAATCCTTGTTACTCACCAGTTACAGTATCTTAAAAAAGCAGATTTCATAGTCGTTTTGGATAATGTAAGAACCTGGTTTAAATAATTAAAATTACAATAGACTAATTGCTTGTGGGTTCTTTAAGGGACGTATCGAAGCTCAAGGGACTTTTGATGAATTATCAAAGAGCACTCTGAACTTTACAAAACTTTTGGCTGCAGCCGAGGACACTCATGAAGAACATCATTTTGAACGGGAATTTCTACGATCTTCCATCTTGGTGAGAAATCAATCAGCTTTTATACGTATGCATTCGTAAATACCAAAGCAACAAGATGAACACCATTACTATTTTACTTTTATTTGTGGTTTTCTTTATCATCATCATCATCATCATCATTATAAGGTCGTCAGTCCTAAGACTGATTCGACACGCACCTCCACTCTTTTCTTTCCTGAGTTAATCTTCGCATTTCTGTAAAACAAGAACATCCCACATTTACTTCCACAGAGTCCTCTGTTCTCCTATTTGTTTTAATACCTCTTCATTTTTAACCTTCTCTATCCACGGTATTCTCATCATCTTCTATAAGATCACATTTCGAACGCTTCTAACCTTTTATATCTTTCGCACCCGTGCAGCGCCGCGCTTGGTAGGACACCTTTTTAGGCATGAAAGTCTAGTCAGAGACATATTAGAGACATAAACGGGAGTTAGGAGGGGTAGAGGTAGACCTAGATTAGATTACTGTTCGCAAATAGTTAAGGATGTGTGCTGTTCTAGTTTTAGGGAAATGCGAATTTTAGCTCAGGATAGAAAACAGTCTTAGGACTGACGACCTTATGATGATGATGATGAGCATAGAAGTGACTTCTTTTTATTAACAGAAATTCTTACAACGTCATTAAAAGTAATCTTAACACTAATCCGTATTTTCCTGGTATTTTCTGTAGAGCGTTGGAAGTGAAAGTTGGGAACATGAGCAACGGGAAAAGAACGAAGAAGGGTTGGTACATTTAAAAAAGTCCCCGTATAAGTCATATTTAAAGCACTCTTCTAATTTCTGTATTATTTTTCTCTTGCTGCTTTTGTTAATTGTATCTCAAGCAATAACAAGCGGTTGTGATTACTGGACAGCATTCTGGTAAGTTGAACGCCAACAACTTCACTTGCGTTGCTTTTAAAATTAGTTTTTAGGACTCGACAGGAAGAATTAAGGTCTACATCAATTTTAAATAACGACGAGGAAGTTGTCAAAAAAACGTTTTCTACTGAAACTTCTCTTATAATATACTCAGTTCTAATTATTGCAAGTATAATTTTGACGAGTTTAAGGTCAATATTTTTCTATAAACTGGCCATGAACGCGTCCAAAAGGTTACATGGAACTATGTTCAGCGCCCTTCTCAAAGCTCCAATGAGATTCTTTGATGTGAATCCATTAGGACGAATCCTTAACAGGTTTTCTAAAGACATGGGGATAATCGATGAACTTTTGCCAAGGATAATGTTGGATGCCTTAACTGTATGTGCTGTTAAATTTTCCAATAAAAGGTCATGTTATTTTTACACTGCAACTATTGCAGATTTTTCCAGTTATGGGTGGTATCGTAGTAAACGTAACAGTTTCAAATGTTTATATGCTCATCGCTGGTTTCATTGTGGGGGTGCTTTTCTATTTTAGTCTTAAATGGTACATTGCTGTCGCTAGAGATGTCCGACAATTGGAAGGAATTGGTAAAAATATAAATACAAGTGACCAATACACTGTACTTATCAAACAAATGTAAAATTCTTTTAGCTAAAAGTCCAGTTTTTACTCACTTAAGTGCCACCTTCAGTGGCCTTGCAACAATAAGGGCCACGCAAAACGAAATAATTCTTGCACAAGAATTTGACCAACACCAAGTAAGTTTTATCGTAGGTACTATACAAAACTATGTTATGTAGGCACTGTTTTTATACAGGACACTCATACTTCTGCTTGGTTCGTAACAATTTCTTGTATTTCCGCCTTCGGCCTTTGGATGGATTTATTGTCTGTAATCTTCATCGGGTGCGTCACCTTTAGCTTCATATTCATAAGTCAGAGTAAGTATATACAAAGAGTCGTGGATAATAAAATGAGGAAATTAAAATTATGCATTTTTAAAGATGGATCGACGAGTGGTAGTGCAGTTGGTCTAGCAGTTCAACAGTCATTAATATTGGTTGGAATGTTGTCTTTTGGAGTTCGACAAATTGCTGAATTGGTTAGTAATATGATCGCTGTCGAAAGAGTTTTAGAGTATACTGAATTGGAAAAAGAAGAAGTGTCGAAGACAAGAAGTAAGTATGCATTTGACTCTTTAAAATTTCCTTTGAAACTATTCACTTAAACTAGTCACTTAATAACAAAAGTTTGGTCATACATAAAGAATAACGACATAAATCGGAAAATAAACTTAACAAGTTACTCATGTAGATTGTGCTTATTCGTACTTACAGATGATGTTTTTATTATTTTTAAAAGATTTATAATAGTCGCTTCACTAAAATAGCATCTATTTACGACATGTTTTTACAGGGAAAAAATCGATATTTTTCATAATTAATTTAAACAATGTTGTTTCTAGATTATAATTCAGTGCCAATAATCTGTTAAAGGATGTTCTGAATATTCGTTCCATTTGAGTAAAAAGTTTATTTTTGCTTTCGCATAAAATAAACAGTTCCTTTTGAAACATTTCAGAGTCACTAGTTCAGCAAACAATTCTTTACTTCAGTTTTTACTTCCTAATGAATTAAAAAAACGTCACAGTGACTATTAGAGATTATTTTTGATTCTTAATCAAATGTAAGCTGCAATATTATACATCGTGAAACCTAATAAATATTTTCTATCATCTTCCAAATAATTGAAACTGCCTTGAAATTTTTAATAAAAATGAATAGTATCTTGTTAGTTGCGAGGCGGAAAAATTTGGTACTGTTTGACATAAGAGTGGGAACAATTTGGATTTTACTCATATTTTTTTGTTAGAGTCGTATCCCAGTATCGAATGGCCTAGTAGAGGGGTCATTGTATTCAAGAATTTATTTTTGACTTATGCAAGCGATAAACCGGCTGTTTTAAAGGATTTGAATTTTACTGTCAACGCAGGGGAAAAGGTGAGCCAGACAAACGAATAATATTACGTAAAAGGACAGAATTATTGACCTTTTGTGCAATTGTAGTGTTTCATAGTGTTCGTGATTCAGTTTGGCAAATAGATAACCTTTTAGAGTGCTTTTACCAGACATTATGGAATACTAATACTAATAATTATCTATAGGTGGCGATGTACTACCACTAGTTTCGCTGTATTAGATTTTATTTACAATATTGTTAGATAATTAATAAGTAAATAACAATCATGTTTGTAGATTGGTATAGTGGGCAGAACAGGGGCAGGAAAGAGTTCTCTAATTGGAGCATTATTTCGTTTAGCAAAACTGGACGGCAGTATTTATATCGATGGTGTTGATACTCAGATAATTCCTTTAGCTGAATTAAGAAAACGAATTTCCATAATTCCGCAGGAACCGGTATTATTTTCAGAATCCTTGAGGTATAATCTTGATCCGTTTAACGAATATGATGATAAAAAGTTGTGGACTGTTTTGGATGAGGTAATTTATATATGAATATAAAGAAGACTTTTAGATGTGCATTAGTAAATATCATTATTATTTTAGGTGGAACTTAAGGATTCCATAACATCCCTGGATATGGAGGTTCAGGATGGCGGAAACAATTTTAGTGTTGGTCAGCGTCAACTGATATGTCTAGCGAGGGCGATCTTGAGAAACAACAAAATTTTAGTTCTTGATGAAGCCACAGCTAACGTGGATCCTCGGTAAAAGATTTTTAATTTTAATTTTAATTCCTTGTTGCTGTTGTTTACAAATTTCTTCTGTTGGCTTTCACGGCCAGCGTGAATTAGCCTTCAGTTTTATTCGAGCAGGGAAATACTTCGTGTACCAATATCCCGTACTGTTCTAGAACCGATTCTTTGATCCAAACAACGATTCGGAATAAGTTCAGGAGCTGCACCGTTTTAACAATAGCACATCGTCTCAATACAGTCATAGACTCTGATAAAATACTAGTAATGGATGGTGGAGCTCTAGCAGAATACGATCATCCCCATGTTCTTTTGAAAAACCCCAAAGGATTCTTTTACCGATTGATATCGCAAATGGGTCCCGTAATGGAACAGCAATTACACGAAGCGGCTAGAAAATGCTACGAGGAAAAGTTTGGCAGTTTGAATGAATAAATAATAAAGATTGAAATGAGAATTAAGTGTTTCATTATCCAACTTTGATAATAGATGTTGGTGTCATATCAATAATTTTGCAAAAAAAAGACAACATCGCGGAACGTTTCAAACGTTGCTCTTCTAAACGCAAGTAAGATTAACTATAGTTGAGACGACCACAATTGGCATAGTCCACAATAAGTTATCTGTGAGAATGGACGTATCTTCTCTCTTATTTCCACTTGGGAAATACTTCATGAGTGATATGTACAAAGTGAAAAGATATAACCGAATAAGAGTAAACGGTACAGTGGTTAGAGGTTTTAGAAAATACTACAAATGGCGCAGTAAACGCCATCTGTAGCACGATACTACATTTTAGAATACAGACCACTTCGAATTACGTGCCTATCACGTTGAGGTTGGCTACGCCGGGATTCGCTTTCAGCAAGTAGATATCCACACAAGTGGACCTTGTTGAAGCATACGTAATCCTAAAATGTAGCATCGTGCTACAGATGGCGTTTACTACTGTAGTATTTTCTAAAACGCACTGTTAAGACAGCAGGTAAAAGTTGGTCTGTGTTCTGTCGGGGCTGCCTGCGACGCGCTGATGAGATCCAAAAAGATCGAAATCGCGATCCGCGTCTGGCAGTTTCGACAGAATTACAGACCACTTCGAATTATTTTAATAGTTCTTGCTTTCCTAAATTCCTGAGGATGTTGAAAACTTTCTTTAAAGTCCTATGCTAAATTTCAGCTTATTTGCATCAATTGGTGTAATGTTATTCCTTTTTCTTTATTCGTGTCCGCTGCAATTCCTACCTGGCATCTCTTTTCTATGTTTATGATATTCGTTACAACGTCTGCGGTGAGTAAAAGTAAGCGTTCTGTCAGCAGCCGCTCGATAATCTATAGTTAGTAAGTGAAATGAAGAAAGTATAGGGTCAATTGAAAAGTCCCCGGCCTGACACATAGATGACGGCACCAGAACTAAATCCATATGATTTTCAGTTAGTCCTAACCTTCAAAAGACGCGTCTATAAATTTGACGGCTGTCGGATCATTAGTTTGTGAATTATAGCATTTTTAGTGAAGCAACTTTTGTTATTGTGAAAAAAATGGATAAAAAGGAATTTCGCGTGTTGATAAAATATTGCTTTTTGAAGGGAAAAAATACAGTTGAAGCAAAAACTTGGCTTGATAACGAATTTCCGGACACTGCCCCAGGAAAATCAACCATCAAGGATTGGTATGCTAAGTTTAGACGTGGTGAAATGAGCACCGAAGACGGTGAACGCAGTGGACGCCCAAAAGAGGCTGTTACGGACGAAAACATTAAAAAAATCCACAAAATGATTTTGAATGACCGTAAATTGAAATTGAATGAAATAGCAGACACTCTACAGATATCAACGGAACGTATACATCACATCATTCACGAATATTTGGGTATGAGAAAGCTCTGTGCAAAGTGGGTGCCGCGCGAGCTCACTTTTGACCAAAAACAACGACGAGTTGATGATTCAGAGCAGTGTTTGAAGATGATCACGCGTAATAAACCCGAGTTTTTGCGTCGATATGTGACAATGGATGAAACATGGCTCCATCATTTCACTCCGAAGTCCAATCGACAGTCATCGGAGTGGACTGCACACGATGAACCCGCTCCAAAGCGTGCAAAAACGCAACAGTCGGCTGGCAAGGTTATGGCGTCTGTATTTTGGGATGCGCGTGGAATAATTTTCATTGACTACCTTGAAAAAGGAAGGACCATCAACAGCGACTATTACATAGCGTTATTGGACCGTTTGAAGGACGAAATCGCCGAGAAACGACCGCATTTGCAGAAAAAGAAAGTCCTGCTTCACCAAGACAATGCACCGTCTCACAAGTCAGTGAAAACGATGGCAAAAATTCATGAATTGGGCTTCGAATTGCTTCCGCATCCACCGTATTCTCCAGATCTGGCCCCCAGCGACTACTTCCTGTTCTCAGATCTCAAAAGAATGCTCGTTGGGAAAAAATTTTCGTCGAATGAAGAGGTGATCGCCGAAACTGAGGCCTATTTTGAAGCAAAGGACAAATCGTACTACAAAAATGGTATCGAAAAGTTGGAGGATCGCTATAATCAGTGTATCACCCTTGAAGGGAATTATGTTGAATAAAAAAAACGAATTTTGCAAAAAAAATGTGTTTTACTATTTTAGGCCGGGGACTTTTCAATTGACCTGTTAAATGCGACAATTTTGTTTATTGGTATTGACATTACCTGTAGTGAATTAAATTTGCCAAATAAGTTTATATATTAGGCCATTGCCCAATATTTGCCATGCCTGGTCCAATATTGGGCAACCTCGGGCCAAGATCGGACCAAGCTTGACCTATTGCGGCTTTCTATACATGAGAATAGTTTACAATAACTTCAAAAAATATGACAATACGTTCTCGTAAAAACATTTTATTCCATAATACGAATAGGAGTTGAAAAACTTAACGTTGACTTAACAACAACGTTTAACAAGCATTTTCAATACGTAAAGTAGATATAAAACTTATTAAAATGATAATTATATATAGTTTTACAAGGGACCTTTTATGTTGTTTTGTTTTTGATAAAAACTTACTAGGTATTTTTTCTCCGCATTTTGTACATTGTTTTTGTTCTAGTGGTTACAGTTTTTTGTGTGACAAAACATATTTTAAAATAAGTGAGAAAGTCCAAGCTACTTATTTTGTTAATGTACAATTAAAACTTAATAAATTAGCATGGACTGTGTAGTAGAAATAACTAGGTCAAATTCATTTGAAAAAGCAAACATTTTTTCGAAAATGTTTTTCTGGTAAGTCTAATAAAAATAAATGTAATGGTAGAGTTTAAATTAAATAGTAGATAATTTAAAATTCATTTCTACCGCTATCGAAGTAAAAGATTATTCATTTTCTTTCGACAGTACCTTTTAATGATATGACCAACTCGTTCTGCAGTATCAGTATTTTAAATCTCCCGAGAAAAGTGCTCCAGGATAAATGTCCCTTCGACAACAAATTTTCGAATAAATAATTTAAACGGGACCGTATAATTTCTTAACAAATTTTTAAATTTAGAGCAAACATTCACAAAATGTAGACCATTAAAATTTTTATTTGTTTATTTATCTATCATTTTATATATTTTTTGGCTCCTAGTTTGCCTTTTATAAAGATTTTATTATTTTTTCAAAGAACTTATTGGTTCCAAACGACTTGAAGGAGCAAGTAAATTTTGAAATACGTAGGCGGACATTTTTTCCGGAGGCATTTTTTTTCTTGGGATATTTTTCCGGGAGGAATTTTGTCCGGGGGTTTTTCTTAGATTCTTTAAATTGGATTTATTTCAGGTGGATGTTAAAATTTTGTTTCAAAGGGATAAAAAGACAATTAGAAATTAAAGATTTATTCAAATGCACTTTGGCTAATGAATCGGAAAAGCTTGCAGATAGGCTGGAAAAAAAGTGGAATGAAGAATTAAGAAAAGCGAAAAGCAAATCAAAGGAACCTAGTTTAATGTTGGCCATTATTAAGGCGTTTATTCCCCTTTATATTTCTTGTGGGATTTGGTCATTTGTCGTAACTGCTATCACAAGGTAAATACTGAAACAGTTTCATTATGATTTATTGGCAATCTTCATCTACCGTCATCGTCATCATAATATCGTCAGTCCTAAGATTGCTTGGACTCCGCTCTTTCCTATCTTCGCATTTCCCTAAAACTAGAACATTCCACATCCTTAACTATTTGTGAACAGTAATCTAATATAGGTCTACTTCTACCCTTCCTAACTTCCGTTTCTGTCTCTAATATGCCCCTAACTAGCCCTTTATGCCTGAGAAGATGTCCTACCAACCCATCTCGCCTAATTCTTATTGACCTCTATAGCGCTCTCTGTTCTTCAATTCTTTCTATTACCTCCGCATTTCTAACTTTCCCATTCATTTGTAACACCATATTTCCAAATGCATTTGTGATTTAAATTCTGATAAAAGTTAATTGAACGTATGCTTGATGAGCTATGTTTAAATAAATTGTTTTCACAGAAACGATCACACCTCTAATTCTCGGTAGGTGATAATTATCACCATCATCATCATCATAACGTCATCAGTCCTAAGCCTGGTTGGACACGCACCTTCACTCTTTCACATCCTGGACCTATCTTCGCATTTTCCTAAAACTAGAAGTAGGGTATTCTATCCCTTAACTATTTGCGAATAGTAATCTAATCTAGGTCTACCTCTACTCCTCTTAACTCCTGTATGTGCATCTAATATGTCTCTGACTAGTCCTTCATGTTTGAGCAGGTGTCCTACCAACCTATCTCGCCTATTTCTTATTGACTTCGATAGAGTCCTCTGTTCTCTTACTCTTTCTAATACCTCTTCATTTCTAACCTCCTCTATCCACGGTATCCTCATCATTCGTCTGTAACATCACATTTCTAACTTCTAACCTTTTCTTTTCCGCTGCGCCCACTGTCCATCTTTTGCACCCGAATAGCGCCGTGCTCCAACCATACACCTTTAACAATCTTTTTCGAATTTCTAAATCAACCGTTGGCGAGCATATATGTAAGGGACTTCTTTTTATAGAAGGCGACTCGACCCTGCGCTATCCTTTGCTTTATATTCCTACTACACCTTCCGTCCTGACTTATCTGACTTCCTAGATACCTAAAATCGGCCACTTCTTCTAATTTTTCGTCTCCTATCTTTATATTCGCTCTTTCCCTACTTTTTCTTCCCTTGAATACCAATATTTTTGTTTTACTTTTATTTATTTTCATACAGTACTGTCTTGTCAATACCGTTTCCATTTTATTTAAAGCTATTTTTAACTCCTCCTTGATATATACTAATACTGCTATATCATCTGAAAATTTAAGCATACTAATCTTTTGTCCTTGTGTATCTATCCCTACAGTTGTAGTAGGGTAACTATTTTTACTCCAATTTTATCTTTACCTAATTATTTATTTCAACGTGTTTCGTAGGTCACTGTTGCCGTTAGTGCTAAGTTTATATCTCAAGCAGTTTTCTTCCCTTAATAAAAATACCATTAATGAAAAATGGATATACGGTGGAATTATTTTGCTAATTTCTACATTTAACGCTTTCGTACTTTATCAAGTTTCATTCGTTGCAACGCAAATGGGGATGAGAGTCAGAATTGCATGTTCCTCCTTAATTTATCGAAAGGTACCTATCTACCCGTTACAAATATGTACAGGGTGACTCGTATCAAAACAACTACAATCAAAGTTATTTTTTTAGTTGTTACGATTGAGTCTAGAGTCGTTGAATGAAACTACCCCTGGCAAAGTGGTGAATCTTCTTTCAAACGACGTCATGCGTTTTGATATGTTGCTTCTGGTGTTACATTATTTATGGATTATGCCAGTGCATGTGATTTTGTTGACATTTCTTATTTGGCGAGAAGTAGGGATAGCAGCGTTTATAGGAATTATTACAATGTTGCTTATAACAGGGCCTATGCAATGTACGTTAATTTAAGTCCAATTTTACACACGAAGGGAATAGAAATTAAAGGGCGTTTTTGAATGACTCGTTGCATTCTTTGGTGCTGTTGGGATTAACAATTTGTAGTCAATACTGTAGAAAACAGAATAAAATGAGCTATATACATAAATAAAACGCTATAAACCGAGAAAACTAACTGAAGATGAAAGCGCATATTAGATTTTTAAACGTTTCATGTAGAATTAAAGGTTATATAGGGTTGTTCGGAAAGTCATTTCGTTTTTTTTTTGTGGAAATGAAAGACAGTTTTCGTATAATAAACAAATACTTTATTAAATTATATATTGACCGTTCTGGTCCAACACCTTTTGCCATCTTTCTGGTAGTAGCATAATTCCACGCTCATAAAATTTTTGGTCTTTGCTGGCAAAAAACTGATCGAGGAGGTTTTTGACCTCCTCATTTGAGGTGAAGGTTTTACCGTCTAAAAAATTTTGGAGTGACCGGAACAAATAATAATCCGATGGTGCCAGGTCTGGAGAATATGGTGGGTGTAGCATTGTATCCCATTCAAGCTGTAAAAGCTTTTGGCGAGTGACCAAACTTGTGTGAGGTCTCGCGTTGTCTTGGTGAAACACTACACCTTTCCTGTTGATTAGTTCTGACCTTTTCTGTTGAAGTGCATCATTCAGTTTGTCCAGCTGATGACAGTAGACTTCCGAATTAATCGTTGTGTTATCCGGTAAAAGCTCAAAAAAAAACGATTCCTTTAAAATCCCACCAAACAGACAGCATCACCTTTTTTTGGTGAATATCGGCTTTGGAAATGGTTTGAGCCGGTTCATCTTTTTTGCTCCATGACCTCTTGCGTTTGACGTTGTTGTATACAACCCATTTTTCGTCCCCAGTGATGATGCGCTTCAAAAACGGATCATTTTCGTGACGTTTGAGAAGCGAATCGCAGACGTCAATGCGGCGACACAGATTTCTCTCTGTGAGAACATGGGGAACCCATACATCGAGCTTCGAGGATAATCCCAGGCCTTTCAAGTGGTCATAAACTGTTGAATTTGATAAATTTAACCTCAATCCGATCTCACGTGTTGTTATTCGCCGGTTCACATCAACTAATGCCTTTATCGCGTCTTTATCAGCTTCAACCGGCCTTCCCGAACGTGGTGCATCTTCGACATCAAAATTGCCGGATCGAAATTTAGCGAACCAGTTCTGGCACTGGCGTACTGTCAACACACCTTCTCCATACACATCAGTCAATTTCTTTCTGGCTTGAACAGCATTTTTACCCTTTCTGTAGTAAAACAGTAAGATATGTCGAAAATGCTGCTTATCGCTCTCCATATTTAAAAGGGCACCAACCAAAAACTACTGCGTAGAATTAATTGGAATTTTTCACACACAAGCCTTGCTATATGAGCTCTCAAAGCATATAAATATTATACGGCTTAAATGTGAAGTTGGGTGCAAAAGAATACAATTAAATCCTCTGTCGGGAAAAAAACGAAATGACTTTCCGAACAACCCTATATTTTATCATTTGTTTTCGATGGGGTCGAATGTTTATGTTGAGGCTGCCTTTTATTTACAAAACAGGTGCTATTAAAGGTTTTATTTTATTTTGTAATAAAAAAAATAATGACAAAAGTTCTAATTATTAGTTGCTAAAAGAAATTAGAAATTCGTTATTTTATATTGTCAATCGTTCGTATTTGCACACGTCGAAAAGATGTGACCGCAACTGTTCGCTTAGTGTGAAGGGTTCTTTAAATTGCGCTACGATTAGCCTATGTTTTTTAGATGTTGCAGTAACAGTTTCGACAAAAGTTCGTAGAAGTGCAGCTCAGAAAACAGACACTAGGATCAACCTGATGGGACAATTGGTCGCAGGTATTCAAGTAATCAAAATGTTCGTTTGGGAAGACGCCCTTGCGGAAGTGGTTAGAAAAGTTCGTGCTGACGAAATATCCAGTTTAACTAAAATTGTCTATCTCAAATCAATATTGTCTGTAGCGTCGGTGTTCACGGAACGCTTTGCCACTTTTATAACTATAATTTCGTTCGCACTGCTTGGAAATGTTATTACAACAGCTACTGTGTTTTCAGTTGCGTCATTTTACAGCGTATTGCAGCTTACGATTGCTGTGAATCATCCCCTAGCAGTTCTCTTAACTTGCGACGCTAAAGTTTCAGCAAAACGTTTGCAACAATTTCTTCTATTAAAGGAGAGGGAAGAATGCAAAGTTATAATAAAAAATGACGGCGCAATTTCACTACGAAACGTTGATGTCTTTTGGAAATCCATAATTCCTTCTTTAACAAACATAACTATGAATATTCCTAACGGATCGCTTTGTGCAATTGTGGGACCTGTGGGCTCTGGTAAAAGTACCTTACTTCAGCTGCTCCTTGGAGAAATTACCTCTTATAAAGGGTTAGTGCAAGTCGGCGGAACAGTATCCTATTCATCTCAGGAAGCGTGGATATTCGGGGCGACTGTTAGAAAAAACGTTCTTTTCGGTCAGCAGTACGATAAAACACGGTACGATCGAGTAGTCCGAATATGTTCCTTGAAGGCGGATCTTGAACAATTTCCGTACAGCGATAAAACAATTGTTGGCGAAAAAGGGATATTGTTAAGTGGAGGACAAAAAGCTAGAATAAACTTGGCCAGAGCTGTGTACAGAAAAGCCGACATTTATTTACTTGATGACCCATTGTCGGCGGTGGACGCGCATGTAGGCAAACATATGTTTGAAGAATGCATTTTGAAATATTTAAAACATAAGACTAGGATCCTGGTCACGCATCAGTTACAATATCTTAAAAGAGCAGACCAAATAGTAGTTTTAGACAATTTGGTGAGTTTTGAGAGAGCGACGTATTAAGTGAATTACGAATTTCAGTCTTCGTTTTATGTTAAAGGGCCAAATAGAAGCCTGCGGAACATTCGATGAACTATCTAAAAGTTCGCTGTATTTTACAAATTTCTTATCGTCACCTGAAGAAGTAGATGAGAGAACACACTTTGAACGTGGTGTAACTAGAGATTCCCTCAAGGTATGCCGTGGGTCTATTGTTTAATAGTATTCTGGCTTGTGGACCTCATAATTGTTTCAGAGCATCGGTAGTGAGAAATGGGAAGATGATCAATTAACGCAAAATGCAGAAAATGGAAGTGATTTCAAAAAATCTCCGCACTGGCTGTACGTCAAATATTCTAGTAACGCATTTGGATTGATATTTCTGTTTGTTTCGTTTATTGTAAGCCAGGTTTTTATAAGTGGATGTGATTATTGGACTTTCCGATGGTATTCGTTTTCCAAAACTACATACATAAATGTAACTGTATTTGTGTTTTTTATATTTAGGACAAAGCTGGAAGAGCGGCAATTTCTAAGAAACTCGACGAATTCATACGGATTGCCCCATGAATTTTTATCAACCAAAACGTGTATGATAATTTATGCAATCTTGATAATCGGGTGCTTCCTGACAGTCTCACACAGGTCTTTCCTATTCAGTAAATTCGCTATGAATTCTTCAACTCGCCTGCATGCTAATATGTTCGATGCAATACTTCGAGTACCCCTGCACTTTTTTGACGTGAATCCTATGGGCAGAATTCTCAATAGATTTTCTAAAGATATCGGAATAGTTGATGATGTCATTCCCAGGCTAATGCTAGATGCTATTTCCGTAAGCAATTAATATTCGACTCGAACTTTTTAAAAGTATAAAATTGCACTATTATTATTTCTTTAGGGAATTCTTCTGATAGTTGGTATATTGGTAAATGTAACCGTTTCAAATAAGTTTATGACACTCGCTGCTATTATGTTGGGAATAATATTCGTTCTCTTGTTAATGGGATATACAAAGATTTCAAGAGATCTAAGGCATTTGGAAGGCATTGGTGATAATAAATTTTGACAAAAAATTGTGTGAGTCTAAAAAATTTCGTTTGCAGCAAAGAGCCATGTATTTTCGCATTTGAATGCAACTATAAACGGATTAGTTACAATAAGATCAACAAGAAACGAGGCTATTCTTGTTAACGAATTTGATAAGCACCAAGCAAGTATTTCTTTTTCGTTTTAAATTCTAACCCTATTTTGCAAATTTATAGAAAACCGAAATATTTTGATAAAAAAGGAACTCATATTTACGTATTGTTCTAGAACAATCATTCGTCTGCAAATTTTTTAATACTAGCATCTACCACTTCGTTCGGCTTGTGGTTAGAGTTGATGTCGTTGTTTCTCGTTTACAGTGTCGTTATTAGTTGTACGTTAATAAGCGAAAGTAAGTGTGTTTTACTACTATAATATCTTCCGGCATTTATTCTAAAGAATTTTCAGACGTTTTATGATAATAACGAATCAATTACTTATTATTAATGAAATTGTTTATAGAAGGTACCATGACAGGCAGTGCAGTCGGACTATCTACTCAACAATGCCTACTTCTAATCGGCACTTTATCATACGGGATGCGTCAATTGGCTGAGACATTGAGCTGTATGACGTCAGTCGAAAGAATTGCCGAATATATTGGTTTAGAGAAGGAACAATGTTCTACTGAAAATAGTAAAAATACTTTGAATATTTTTTAGTCTTTACCATTGGAAAGCTTCAGAGTTTCAGTCTGTCTATGCTCCACAATTTTCTCTTTGGTTAAAACTATTTTTGAGTAAATTGAAAATTGTTTTAACATTTGAGTACCTAATTTGATGGAAATTGGTAGACCTCTACATCATAATTACTGTTTCACGAACTTTTTGTTCTTGTCTTGTTTTTTCTTGTCCTTGTCTTGTTCTTGCTGCAGGAAATTTCGGAACAAGTGCAAGATGCGACAGGAATTTCTTGTCAAGAAATTAGCAAGAAACGTGAATTTCTGCCTTTTGGGTACAATACTGCAAAGTTTCAAAATAAAAGGCGAAAGCAAGCAAGTTTTGACAACTGTTTATCTTGCTGAGAAAAACAAGTCAAGAATATAGCAATTAAGACAAGAAATCTTGCTTTCTGCATCGCTAGTCATCAGTCTGTCATTTCCCGGAAACCTGAACATCCTACATCTACTTCCTTTGTTCCTATTTACATCTGCTGCTGCAACTGTACTTTCATGTCTCCGAACGTTTCCTACCATCCTATTTTTCCTTCTTAACTTCGATAGAATCCTCTGTCATTTGTGCTATGTTTTCCTCTACTTGTTCATCACACTTTTATATCATCCGCTTATAGCACTACATTTCTAAAGGTTTTTCTTTTCCGCCGGGTTCATCGTCTACGTTTCGCCATCGATCAGAAACGCTAATTATTTTAATATTTTAGAAAGTTTACCAGAAATTGAATGGCCAAGCAGAGGAGCCATAGTTTTTAGAAACGTACACATGAGGTATTTCGATAATACGCCAGAAGTTTTAAACAATTTAAACTTTACAATTGAAGCCAATGAAAAGGTATAAATACAATTAATATTTTTCGTGGCACTGGAATACTTTTTATTTGTGTATAGGTTGGTGTAGTTGGTCGCACTGGTGCTGGTAAAAGTTCTCTTATTCGTGTCCTGTATCTCTTAACAAAACTCGAAGGCAATGTTTACATAGACGGGATAGACACTCAAACTGTTCCCTTAAACGAATTAAGAAAACGGATTACCGTCATCCCTCAAGAACCCGTGCTCTTCGGTGGATCTTTAAGATATAACCTAGACCCATTTAACGAATTTGACGATAAAAGATTATGGAACGCTTTGGATGTGGTAAAATATAGATACACAACAGTAATAATTCGATTCATTAAATTTACAAACAAATAATCATTTTAGGTAGAACTTAAGGAATCTGTAGCATCGTTAGACATGGAAGTTCAAATAGGCGGGAGTAACTTCAGTGTTGGACAAAGGCAACTGATCTGTCTCGCAAGGGCCATTTTAAGAAACAACAAGATTTTGGTACTAGATGAAGCGACAGCTAATGTAGATCCAAAGTACGAGCATACAAAATATTCCTGATTTAAATAACGTTTTGTTTTTCGGTTTTGTAAATTTACTCTTTTAGGACAGATTCGTTGATTCAAGAAACGATTCGAAAAATGTTCAAAAATTGCACTGTGATTACTATTGCCCATCGTCTAAATACCGTCATGGATTCTGACAAGATACTTGTAATGGATTCGGGACATTTGGTCGAATTCGATCATCCCTATAAGCTACTGCAGAATAAAAGAGGTGTTCTGTATAAGTTGGTTTCGCAAACTGGTTCAAGCATGGAGGCACAATTTCATTCAATTGCAGAAGGGACTTACTACAAAGAAGATGACGAAAATGAACTTTTAGTAACTAGATTGTAGTTTTATTACTAAAAGTGCAAATAATGGCACATATTTCTGGTTGATAATGATTAATAAATAAAAAAGTTAAAAAGTGCAAAATATTTATATTTATCACGTTTTATGTGGCATTGATTCTGTTGAGACTACTGTTCTTTCAAATAAATGTAATGCAATTGTACTTATTACGTCATATGTCGCTGACATTCAAGAAGATAAATAATCATTGGTTGAGTATTACAATGTCAAAATTGAATAGGTGTAGTTATAAATTATGTCCTGATAAGGTATCAGTTTGATATCAAAATAGGAAAAGAATCTTGAAAGGTGTTTATGTGAAAACTAAATTAGAGATGGTCTGAGACTGATAATGTGCGTAAATAAAGCTTTACTTCTGTAGTTCGTGAAGTTGAACTATTATAATAAGTTATTTCGTTGGTCCTTCGAGCCGGATTTTTAAATAACTTTCTTTTGGTGTCAAGTCAGCTAGATGAGTTGATATTGAGAAGCAAATAAAGAAATTAAAGGTAAGGTGAAACTTGTTTGAGACTACGTCTTTACTTTACGTCTAATTATCTTGTATCTATGGTGGGTATATGTATATATGGTAAAAACAAATTAAATTATTACCATAGTGTCTATATTTTCCCCTTGTATATGTAATGAATTGAAAATCAGAGTCAGTCAGAGTAACAACGTTTGTATTATTTTAAAACTAAGGAGGAGTTTTGGTTGGCTCTTATTCTTCATTCATTGTAAGTATTTCTTAAAAAAAAAACAGTAGTTAAGCAATTGAAGATAGTACTGTAAAAGATCGATATAAATGATATGATAACCGGAAATATAGATTAGATATATTACCAAAAAAAGCTCAGTCAATTGACTCTTCAATTGTCTACTAATCAGTATGTAAAACTGTTTGTGATGACTTTTCTACGACTATTTTTATGCATGTCTCGTATCCTTATGTAATTTATTTAATAGAGAAACACACCATACTCACTTCTTTCTAACAATCGGTTATTTATATCTCACAGTCATTTAATACATATTCCTGATTAGTTCCGAAAACTTCTCGTAACTTCCTTATTGCATACATCAAAGGTGCCACTGGTATCGAACGCCTGCGGCAAGCAAGCGTTCATAACATTAGTTGAAGAAAATGTTTACTACTTTAAAGTCTCCAACTAATGATTTTCCTTTCTCTTAAGCAAAATAACATTTACAAAATTTGTTTTTCTTAAAGAAATAATTTATCTACGGATAAAGGATTTCACAAGGAAAAATGGACGGCATTATACAAATTGGAAAATCAAATCCACAAGAAAAAGCAAATATTTTTTCCAAAATATTTTTTGGGTAAGCTTCTTAAAATCATATCGCAAAAGCTAAAACCATTACGAGATATTAATTTTATAGATGGATGGCAAAAATTTGTTATGTAGCAGTGAAAAGATCTTTAAAAGTGACCGATCTATACAGATGTCTAACCGTAGATAGATCTGAAAGGCTTACGGATAAAATTGAGCTGAAATGGAAGGAAGAATTAGAGAAGGCGAAAACCAAATCGAAAGAGCCCAGTCTAACGTCATCAATTGTCAAAGTTTTTGGCCCAACTTATATGTTTTACGGATTATTTGTATTTTTAACGTCTGGCATATTAAGGTACAAATCCTTATCATTAACATTATTAATTTATTTACCGATTAAAAGCTTCTTATAGATCGGTTCAACCTATGATCCTGGGCATGTTCATTAGACAATTTTCAACCCTCAGTGAAGGTACTCTCAATGACAAATTGATTCTCGGAGGTATCTTGTTAGCAATGTCTACCATTACTGTATTAACGTATCATCAACTTAATCTCTTGCTTTCACAAATTGGAATGAGAGTTAGAGTTGCGTGTAGCTCGTTAATCTACAGAAAGGTTAGATATTTTTGTTTGTTTTGTGCTCTTGTTGAGGTCAAATAAATACTATGAATTAATTTAGCTTTTACGACTAAGTACCAAGTCGTTAAACGAAGCTGCTGCAGGTAAAGTTGTTAATCTTCTCTCAAACGACGTAAATAGGTTTGATTTGGTAGTCATTTTGCTTCACTTCTTTTGGATTATGCCTATACAAGTGGTTTTACTCACTTATCTCATATGGCGAGAAGTTGGAGTGTCTGCGTTTATAGGAGTTGCAGTTATGTTAATTTTAACTCTTCCTCTTCAAGGTAATATACATACAAACGTACGAGTCCCCTCCCAATCAAATGTGGGCTTGCCTTAGTTTTTTTGGAATCATCAAAAAAACAATGAACATATTAATGAAAAGGGCAAATCTAATAACATGCAATATAAAACATCAACTTTATTGTTTCATGTTTAAAATTCTTAGCAAAAAATCAAAAATTTCTCGTTATTTTTTAATGCCGTGTTAGAAACATCCTTCGATTGGGGAAAATCCTTATTCATTTTGGTAAAGAGATACTAAAAACGTTTTATAATTGAAACCACTTTATGTTCATGTAGTGCTTGCTTCATTAATACCAATTTTCTAAAAAATTTATAGTAAACCATATAAAATGGGTGGGGGTTCGTCGTCACCTTATCGAAAAGAGTTTCAATTAATTATCTGTTAATCTGCAGGTGCAATTGCAAAATTAGCTTCGATGTTTAGAATAAAAGTGGCACATAAATCAGATAGTAGGATAAAATTGATGGGTCAATTGATTGCGGGTATTCAAGTGGTGAAAATGTACGTTTGGGAGGAGGCACTTGCCGATACTGTCAAGAAAATTCGCGCCAGTGAGATCAGTACTTTAAGGAAAACTTCGTATCTTAGAGGAATACTGTCAGCCATGTCCGTATTCATGGAACGTTTCGTCACTTTCATAACCGTAGTGTCTTACGTACTCCTGGGAAATACTATTACGGCGGATGTAGTCTTTGCACTCGCATCATTTTACAATATTTTACAAATGACAACCGCCATTTATTACCCCCTGGCTCTGCTATTCCTTTCCGAAACCAAAGTGTCTATCAAACGACTCCAAGAATTTTTACTTCTTGAAGAAAAAGAAAAATCAAAAATTGTGTTAACGAATGACGGTAAAGTTTCTTTGAAAAGCGTTGAAGTTTTCTGGAATCCCAAAGTAGCTTCCTTAATCGATATAACAATAAATGTTCCTCAGGGATCACTTTGTGCTGTTGTTGGTCCTGTAGGATCTGGTAAAAGTACGTTACTGCAACTTCTTCTTGGGGAAATTGCTTTATATAACGGTTTGGTAGAGGTCGGTGGTACTATATCTTATTCGTCCCAAGAGGCATGGATATTTGCTTCCACTGTGAGAAGAAACATTGTTTTTGCTCAGGAATACGATAAGACACGATACGAACAAGTCGTTGAAGTGTGTGCTCTGAAAGCTGATTTTCAACAATTCCCTTACAAAGATAAAACTATTGTTGGCGAAAAAGGGATATCACTGAGCGGAGGTCAAAGAGCCAGAATAAATTTGGCCAGAACTGTTTACAGAGATGCAGACATTTATCTCCTCGACGATCCACTATCAGCTGTGGACGCACATGTTGGAAAACATCTGTTTGAAAAATGCATTTTACAATTTTTGAAGCACAAAACGAGAATTTTGGTCACACATCAATTACAATACCTAAAAAAAGCAGATCAGATAGTAGTTTTGGACAACTCGGTGAGACAAAGGGCTTCTTGTTATCGTGCTTTTTGAAATACTTACAGTCTTCTTTAAACTAGGGTCGAATTGAAGCATGTGGGACATTTGATGAACTGTCAAAAAGTACGTTAGACTTTACGAAGTTGTTGTCATCAGCCGAAGAAGACATCGAAGAAGTGAAACACGTTGAGCAAAGCACTGGAAGACCTTCAGTATTGGTAAAATTGAAATTATAACTACAGTTGTTAAAATAATGCACAAATCTATTACTATTAGAGTATAACAAGCGAAAATTGGGAAGAAGAGCAACTGGAAAAGAATGCAGAAACCATTGTGACTAAAGGGAAATCCCCCTACGGACAATATGCAAAATACGCGTCCAATATATGCGGACTTCTTTTCCTATTCATTTCTTTGGTAATTTCTCAAACTGCGACCAGTGGATGTGATTACTGGACTTCATATTGGCGAGTATTGATAGATATTTTAGTTTCTATCAACATTTTCAAACCTTAATATATCTCTAGGACACAGTTAGAGGAAGAACGTTCTGCGTTAAATTCGACTAGTATTGAAGGTTCCTCTAGTAATATGTTATCAACCGAGTGGTGTATGATAATCTACACTATTTTGGTAATTGCTTGTTTGCTATTGGCAACTAATCGATCTCTTCTATTTTATAAACTCGGTATGAATGCGTCTACCCATTTGCATGGCAATATGTTTAGCGCCCTTTTAAGGGCTCCGATGCGCTTCTTCGATGTTAACCCCATGGGCAGGATCCTCAATAGATTTACCAAGGATATCGGAATTATTGATGAGTTACTTCCCAGATTAATGTTAGACGCTTCATCAGTAAGGACCTACCTTCATTTGTTGCTTTCTCTTTTAAATTTCATTGCTTTTCTGAATTGCAGATTCTCCTTATAATGCTGGGTATTTTTGTCAATGTGGCAATATCAAATGTATGGATGATAACGGCTGCGGTTGTATTGGGCGTCATATTTATAGTTATTCTGAAGTTTTACATTACCATTGCCAGAGACGTTAAACATTTGGAAGGAATTAGTAATTAAATGTTTCGCAATTTTTAACTGATCAATATTAAGCTAATTCCTTTTCAGCGAAAAGTCCTGTTTTCTCACATTTGAGCGCTACGTTGAACGGTTTGGTTACTGTGAGGTCCACAAAAAGCGAACCAATCCTTGCGTTTGAGTTCGATCAACATCAGGTCAGTATTTAAAAAATAATTATAGCTTTTTTACAATTTTTTTTGTGTTATTGATGAACGTTAGGACACGCATTCGTCTGCATGGTATTTAACGATCTCTTGCATGTCTTCTTTTGGATTATGGCTAGATATTGTCTCGTTGCTTTTTATATATTGCGTGACAATTGCTTTCATATTTATGAGCGAAGGTAAGCTGTTTGTAATATAAATAAATTATTTATTGTACGACACTACATGGGCCATTTCCGCTTAAATATTGCAGAGGGTTATATAACGGGAAGCGCTGTTGGATTAGCTGTTCAACAAAGTTTAATTTTAATTGGGATGCTATCGTTTGGCATGCGACAAATGGCTGAAATGGTTAGTAACATGGCGGCTGTTGAAAGAATTGTGGAATATACCACTCTGGAAAAAGAAGAAAATCCAAATGAGAAAAGTATTTTATTTTGTCATTTTATTCCTGTTTTTGTTTTCTTTTGAACGCTAGTGTGGGACATATTATATTCTATTCTATTCTAGAAAGTATGCCGAATATCGAGTGGCCGAGCAAAGGGGCCATAGTTTTTAAGAATCTTTACTTGAAATACTCAAATGAAGATCCTCCAGTTCTTAGGGATTTGAACTTTACAATCGAAGCTGGCGAAAAGGTAAAATAAATTGCCATTGAAATTTATCGTCTATGACGCAATATGTTTCATTTCTGTCTTGTCAATAATTTATTTTTACTTTACTTCTGCAGATTGGAATAGTTGGACGAACAGGGGCTGGCAAAACTTCTTTGATTGGAGCCCTATTTCGTTTAGCAAAACTTGAGGGCAATATCTTTATAGATGGGGTTGATACCCAATCGGTTCCCTTAAGTGAATTAAGAAAACGAATTTCTATAATTCCCCAAGAGCCTGTACTTTTTAGCGAAACTTTAAGATATAATTTGGATCCATTTAATGAATTTGATGATAAAAATATATGGAACGCATTAGATGTGGTAAGTTTACACTTTAATTCATATTAAATCATCTTTACTTTGACACCCCGCTTGATGAGTATTGGTTTATTCTATGGCACAATATGGCGTCCGGAGTCCATATTGCTTCGTTTGTTACATATACCCAGTGCCATTTGCAGTGTCGATTAGGATCAAACGACACTCCGTTTGTCAAAGTGTATACATTTGTTAGGTCCGTATTTTCTACAAATTTTGAAAATCCATTATTCATCCTTTTATGGATGACTTTTGGAAAACTTCTCTTATCCTTCATATTCAGTGTTCAGAAAAAATCCAAAGAAACAGTTCGTTTTCTTTTAAATGTTTTCTAAACACTGCAAAGCATCAGGCGTATATTAAACTAATCCTTAATCAAATCAGTAACAATATAATGAAGAATTAAAATCTATTCATCTAGGTTGAGCTCAAAGGTTCTATACAATCATTAGATATGACAGTACAAGAGGGAGGAAGTAACTTTAGTGTAGGACAAAGGCAGTTACTATGCTTAGCACGGGCTATCTTGAGGAACAACAAAATTTTGGTCCTTGATGAAGCTACAGCTAACGTCGACCCACAGTAATAAATAATATACCTATAATAAATTAGAAATTATGTCAAACGAAATTGCCATTGCTTTTTTATTTCAGAACGGATTCGTTAATTCAAATAACAATCCGTAAGAGATTTAAAGATTGCACGGTAATGACTATTGCGCATCGTCTAAATACAGTTATGGATTCTGACAAAATACTCGTAATGGATTCCGGAAGTATGGTAGAATACGATCATCCTTACAAACTGTTGCAAAACAAAGAAGGGATTCTATATAAACTTGTCTCTCAGACTGGTCCCAGTATGGAGGCACAACTTTATAATGTCGCAAAAGACTCTTATTCCAGGAAATATGATAACAATGATGTCAGTAGTAGACTTTAAGAGTATAACATTATTTCTTTTCTAAACATTTTTGTTAAATATTGATGATCCTTCTCTAGCAACTGAAAATAAATACATTGCCCGAAAATTAGAATAGTCCCTTTTTAAATACGACTTCTTCGGGACACCCTGTATATAAGGGCAACTAGCTATAACTTTGCTTTTTTTCTGATAAAATATTTTTTTTTGATTTGATTGAAACATCAGAATGTTTTTAAAATATGTGTATCCCTTTTATTTAATTTTTATTCGATATACCTATCATTTTTTTATTATCTTACAAAAGAATGACATTAATAGATTAATGAGATAATTAAAATGACATTTAGTAGTCAAATGAAATTCAATGTGTGATTTGTCAGTCATTAACTAATTTTTTATTTTTAACTGCATCATTTATGAATACGAACGTTAATAATTAACAATAATTAATAAAAAATATATTGACTTGACAAAATATAGTCAGGCAACCCACCCTACGCCCAAGTTCATGTTGATTACGTTTGCATAACTCTGCGTTTGGTTTTGTGGTGATTTATTTCAGAAACAGTGATATTAATGTTCGGCATGTAAAAGCAAATTATAAACATATAAATATTAGTTAAATATAAAATGGCATTAACATTTTACAGAAAATTTGGAGGTCCGGTAGTTAATCGTACAAATCAGTGAGTATTAAATAAAATAACCACTTCACGAAGATAACCTCAAAACTAATTTCCAGATTATGGTGTAAAAAAATCCGAAGAAGTTATTCAACCGATTATTCTAATTGGGATGGAAGAGGGAGCCCGGATAAGAAACCGGTGACAAAATTACCACCTTTAAGCAAACCTGTTGAGGGTTTACCAAGGATACGTTATGCCACTTTGAAAGAAGAACACCAAAAGACTCAAATTACTGTGTTGTCTAATGGACTAACGGTGGCATCAGAAAATAGATTTGGAGAATTTTGTACTGTAGGAGGTAATACTTAATTGTTATTAAATTATTTAGTGTTTAAGGTTAACACAATGTATTCTTATCCCTTCCTTTTTTATTGATTTGTGACTGTATTTGTAGTTGTCATTGACTCTGGGTCAAGGTATGAAGTGGCCTTTCCTAGTGGAATCTCACATTTTCTAGAGAAACTAGCTTTTAATGTAAGTAACGTAAGTTGTTATCTGTTCTCTTCTTGGGGGCTTTTTCTCCACCGATTACTATGTAAATATTCTTTGACAATTTGCTGCTTTTGATAAATTATTGTTTAATCTATTTTAGTCTACACATCAGTATCCTGACAAAGATGAAATGATGAGAAATCTAGAGAAACATGGTGGTATCTGTGATAGCCAAGGATCTAAGGATACTTTTTTGTATGCTGCCTCAGCTTCTACTTCTGGTTTAAACGATGTCATTCAGATGCTTGGAGAAGTTGTTTTACGTCCCCAAATTAAGGAAGAGGAAGTTGAAGCTGCTAGACAAACGATATCATTTGAATTACAAATGCTGAACATGAGACCTGAACAAGAAACTTTATTAATGGACATGATTCATGCTGTAAATAGTAAAACTTTCAAAATTTTCTTTTCAATATTGTCCAAACTGTTTTTAGGCTGCATATAGAGATAATACATTAGGCCTTCCTAAATTGTGTCCAGTTAATAATTTAGACAAGATAAATAGAAAAGTGCTGTTCACATATTTGAATTTGTATCACAGTCCAAGGCGAATGGTGGTGGCTGGGGTAGGTGTGGAGCATGAGAGGTTGGTCAGATGTGTTGAAAAGTTCTTTGTGGATGAACCACCCATTTGGGTAAAAGATAAGAGCCTTATTATTGATGATAATAAAATTAAGGTGGACAGCAGTTTAGCTCAGTATACAGGGGGAATAATTACAGTAAGAATGATTATTATTATATGAATTATTGTTATTGTTATTTATATTTGTAATATACTAGGAAGAGTGTGAAATTCCCCAATTTGCGTCGGCTGGCCTTCCCATTCTTTCTCACGTCATGTTAGGATTGGAAGGTTGCTCCCATAAAGATCCTAACTTTATTCCCATGTGTGTTCTTAACATGATGATGGGTGGAGGAGGTTCCTTTAGCGCCGGAGGACCTGGAAAGGGGATGTACACAAGACTTTACACCAATGTGCTCAACAGGTTTACAATAATATTAGTAATTCATTAATATGTCTAGAGCATAGAGTAACATTCAGGAGGATATCACTTCGTACTCCGGGTCCTCCTACTGTTATTCTGTGATCACATAGTAATATTCCACAAACAGTGTTTCACTTTTTCTGTCTTCATTTCTTCCTCAAGTTTCCCTCTCCAACTACCAGCCACTCATTCTCATTATTCCTAAAAGGAGATTGAATAGGGTCTTCCGCCCTACTCTCCCGCTTTGCACTAGAGTGTAGGTCAGAAGAACGGCCTGTCCATCAGCATTTGTATTATTTATTCTGCAGGTACACATGGATGTACAGCGCCACTGCTTATAACCATGCATATGCTGATAGCGGTCTGTTTTGTATTCATGCAAGTGCACCTCCTGAAAACGTACGAGAAATGGTGGAAGTAATTGTGAAAGAAATGGTAAACATGGCTGGGAATGTTAGTGACGAAGAACTACAGGTAAAGAATGAACTTAAATTATAGATATTTCAATAAAAACTTAATTTTTACTTTGATTAGTAACTTGTTCAATTTTACACAATCTTTTATTCCTTTTTATTGTTTTATAGAGAGCGAAGACTCAACTGCAGTCCATGCTGTTAATGAACCTTGAATCCAGACCAGTGATATTTGAAGATATTGGTAGGCAAGTGTTGGCAACTGGGATGAGGAAGAGGCCTGAGCATTTCATTGAAGAAATAAGTGAGTCTTTTCAATGCTTTGAAATTAACAAATCCGCTTATTAATAATTAAGTGTAAAATTAATACAGTACACTCTTGGCAGCAGAGACATCATAAATTGTCTACTGTAATTGTATTTTTTCTTGTTATTAAATTAATAAAATAAAAAAGGAAATTAATTTATGTTTATTAACCCTTATGATTGATTTTTTTATTTATAAATTACAGACAAGGTATCAAAGGATAAAATAGTGGCAGTGGCCCAAAGAATGTTGAGTTCACAGCCTGCAGTAGCAGCTCGAGGTGACCTAAAGAATTTACCATCTTTGGAATATATCCAGGCTGGACTTCTGGACCGACATGGGCGCATGCCAGGAGGAAAAAGGATGTCGCTATTTCGATAAAAAGAAAAAGAAAAAAGGACATTATCCAAAAGACAGACGTGAACTAATGAAAAAACGAAAACAGGAATATTTTTTCGTTTTTAATATTGTAATAGTATTTCTGTTTTCTACAGTTGGCTCATTTTAAGATTTACAAAATTGTTCCTCGTTCTTGGAGTTTTATAGTGCCGACCAATGGTAGTAAATTGATTTCTATTGCGTTTTTTTTTTCTATTAATTATTAAACTTAACAAACGTTTAGTTTGAAGTAAATAAAAAAATAAATAATAGAACAAGGTTCGAAATATTATGTGTGTAAATATTGTAACTGTTATTATTTTAGAAAATCGGCTGTTTAGAGGAAATGTATCAACAGAAAAAGGTATTTATTGATTTAAATTTAATCAAAATTAACTAAATGTAACTNTTTTAATAAAAACGTTACTTATTAAAATCTGTATGTTTTTGTTATTTTAGAGATTGTACTGTTTGGATTTGATAGAATCGAAAATTTTTGCTTTAAAATTTTTGATTTTAAGAAAGAATAGTCTAGGTCAAACTATGTGGTCGCGAGTAGTATCAAATAAAAGGTAAGTGTGAGTTATTTAAATATATAGAAAACTTTAAGACATCAAAAAAGTTTATTGTGATCCACTACTAAAAAGTAAAGTGATGTTAAAATTAAACTGATCTAGTGAGAGCATTTGCAGATCTGGAATCTCTAGTTGATAATAATTAATCCTATATTTTGTAGAAAATTAATTTCAAGGGGAAACATTTTAATAGCTAACAGAAAAAATTGTAGTTTGTCCAAATAATTTTTGTTTATGAATTAACCATTTACTGGGTTGGTTTTCCTTTTGATTACAAATGAATTTCGGGAATATATGGAAACTGGTTCTCTTTATTCTGTATTGAGAAACAGCCTCTAATCTCTGTAAAACAAATCCCTATTCATCTACTCTAACACACATCGAGTTTAGTACAATCTAATACCCTTTATGATTTACGTATTTCATTTGTAGATCTATTTATGTCTTCCAGACATAGATCGATGCAATTTTTAATTAGGTACCTATACAAGTAGCATGTTTTGTTGTCATTTATCGATCAACGAACTGTTAGGTCTTTATGGTCATGCGTTGTACTTATAACGGTATACCGCGCGAGAAAAAAAGCGGTGATATTTTAATTTGTTGATCGATACGATTGATTCTCTTTTTAATGTGTGCGATTCACGGCATTCCCATTCTTTTCTGGACGCACATTGTATAACTAGCTAAGCGGAATTCTACGCTGGTTTCCATTGGCCAATGGATATGAAGAACTTTCTAAAAGAATTACCTGTTTTGTTCCACACCTGTCGGAATCACGGTACCACGGTTTTAACAACGTCAATGTGTCGAAGTGCGTGTTTTTGTAACCGGATTGACAAAAAAGAATTACACAAAATAATATACACTGAACGCTGCAATAACGTGTAGATTAATTGTGCACTTCTATACGCATTTGTTATCATAAATCATTACGAATTTTGAAAGTCATGGGTGAAGCTCCTGATGGACTCTTCACATTCTTGTCGAACTGTTGTTTTCACTGTCTCATGTGCTTTGTGGAGATTATTTTTAAAATAGGTTCCGGTTAGTGTTTTCGGTTTTCTGTTAATAGTTTATCGAATCGTGCTTGTTTCTGGATTAAAAGAATTTGAAATTGTGTGTATTTATGTGGCTTTGGCAAGAGAAATTTTATAATGCATCAGTTTTTGGTTTATTTAGTAGCCGTTTTCGCCATAGTGATCATTAAAGGTGAGTTACCACACGTAGGTGTACTATTTCATGTCGGAAAATTTGTTTTGCGGTACCTACCAAACTTTGTGGTTTTCCCAATAATTCGCTAATTACGATACCATCATTGTATGATGATTACCTCATAGGTTCATAAGAACAGAACGAAATACAGAGAAAACCATTAATTTTAGAGAAAGTTTTGAAAGTATCCAACACTTGGTTAACGATGATAGTCCATCAAACCGTTGGGCAATTTCACGGAAAAGAAAACTTTTTGTTAAGAATTCACCATCGACGAGAAAGGAAATTGTAAATTTAAATAGAAACTGTTGTAGATAATATAATCGTTATGTACCAAACGTAAAGAATAAAAAGGATCATGAAATTGCTATCTACAGCAAATGACTCAACATAAAGTTAGCAATGAATTAATTCATACGATAAATAATAACAATTGTAACTAGGTATATTGACTAGAATCCATGTGTGACAGACACATGCAAAATTAGATATTATTACAGGTATATTATTACGCAATTTAGTACTACATAATTGGTTTTTAATGAGTTACCTAGCTGTTTAGGTATTTGTTACAACACTAAAATGGTAAAGTCAATGTCGCTTGGTTTTAGTACCTAGTGAAATAGTACATGCCTAACATATATCTTAACAACTTAGCATGTAACTTAACGGTAAACGTAAATATTTGCGAATTGCTGTTTTCTTGTAGCAATTTAGATCTCAAATCCTGTATTACGCGAGTTTAGAACTCTTGTGTTAATTCGTTGTAATTTTATCTTAAATTTTAAGTAGGTACGTCACTTATTAAATCGATTACAAATATGTTACCATTGGTATGAATTCGTTTTGTTGAATGTTAAAAGTAATATTAAATACTTCATTTTTTTACCTTTCTAATTCATTAGTTTATTTAATGATATTTTAAGGACGTACATAATTTACGTAAAATATACGTCTTTTTTTATATCAAGAAAAATCGTACAATTAAGAGCGATAAAAGCTATACGACTGTTTGTTAATGGAATAATAACAAAAGGTAATAAAAAAATACGGTAACTATATTTATATTTATAACAAGGGAAAATTATTAAGAGCATTTGTTATCTGTTTAATTATCTGAAACAAATAAGTTAAAATCTCATTAAAGTGAAATGCTAAATGTACCTATATTTATTATGATAAGTAAAATTTAGAATATTGCTATTATTAAACTAACACAAATAACATCAGCAATTACTACAAATCTAATGGTTTTGCTTTCTAATGCTTATATAAACTATAATGCCAATAAAATTACTTAAATGAACGAATGACGATTAGCGCTATATAATTACCTAATTGATTAATATTTTCGTTAAAATACCAATAAACATTCTACAAATAATGCTGTAAACTGTTTTGTAAAAGGAACCATAACTGCTAAATAGTATTGAGTAAATATCATGAGTAGATATTAATCAATTTAACAATTTTTAATTGTCCGATGGTCCATGCAGGTTTGCAATTATTACAACCGCAATGCAAATAATTGCTGCAAAGTTACAGTTTAATTAAATATAGTTTATGGATTTCTATAAAATATAAATACGATATTTTGGGAGTTGATCGCAATGAAATTGAGACACTGTTTAACCTTAAAGGTTACCAGTTGAAATTCGTATTTCCTTACCCAAGGTAAACCGCTTCATTATTACGATTATAATTCGTTTGTGTAGAAGATGATTGCATATCTTATTTAAATCCAGTAGTAGGCACTAGTATCTCAATGAAAATCAATTTTTAATTTTGTGTTTGTTGCCAGTCAGGATTACAATAATTTAAACATATCTACATATAAAAAACCGACCAATACTTTGCCTTATTCATGTACGATATTAAACAAGATATTAAAAAGAATTTTCATCTCGTAATGTTCCACAGTTACAGATGGACTATTTTCTTCAAACATGAATATGAACTATAAATATCAGTTCACAGTCGGAGAAGAAATCGCGTAATATATCTATACACCAAAAAAATACAAATGAATAGAGAACTAGAGAATGAAATAGAATAGAGAGTAGTGCTTTTTATTAAGTATATTACCTACAAAATAATGGTATTTAATTTAAAATATTTCTGATTTGAAGGCTTCTATCCTTTATTACGGTTTATTCAAATAGAAAATTATGTCTTCATCGTCTCTTCCTTTCATCTTTCGTTTTTTATCCTTTCTAAAGTTCCTAATAGTCCTTTTCCCTGAGTGTGAACTTTGGTATTTATTATTTTCAAATGATAAATTTAATGAGACTAAAATATAACGAAAGATATAGATATTACTAACAGTAGCTTTTATTTGTTGTAAAGATGCTCGGAATTTATTGTTCTACAAGTTGAACCAAAAAGAATTGCAGCAATAGAAATTCGACGAATGAATTACAAAATTGTGAAAGATGCTTATCGTTAATCAGTTACGCGATTTCAAGAATTATCTTGTAAAAATAGTGAAGTAATGTAAGCATGTGACTGTGTGCGTTATTTGAGTAATTAGATAGGTACAGTTAAGTTAAAATGTCTTTCCTATTACTTTGTTGTATTATATGTATTTAATTAATTAAATCGTAAACAGAACATCTATATATTTTGTTATAAACATTTTAATATATTAATTTCCATTTGTAAACCTATTTTCTATTTTTAAAATACTAAACGCAGGGACGTAGCCAGTTTTCTCTTTTTGCGTGGGCCAAGGAGCCCCACCGTTGTTTATTTTAAGATCCATGCAACCAAAGAGTTCCGTGGTATTATTAGTTGGTATGTTACACATACCTACAGGCAGGAAAAGTAATTCGAAAAGTTTAAGTAGGTAATTCATTCGACAGTTCAATTGAAACCACACGTTCTTTTTTACTTGTTTTTTTATTCATTGAAACATGACTCTACATGCTCGTCAATGCATCTTTTAAATGATCTGCCCGTTTGTCCCACATCAAATGTTTCATACAATTTTCATTTTATTTACATACCTGATGACTTTTGGTGGTCACTATCATTATTTTAATCAAATTAAACTATGGTATACTAATTAATTGTGAAGTGAGGTATTTATTGGGAATTATTTAAAAGAAATATAATGCATTAAATTTTCATAATTTTTTCTCTTTAATTTGTGGTTACATTGAAGTGAGAAACATTGCACATTCATTGAAGAGAATGTGGATTGAGGAGTCAGGGCACTTTCTATTTGGTAGACAAGTAAACGTAAGCATTGCAATAATTGTGGAACAATGTTTGGTTTGATGCACTAGAAAGTTGGTAAAGTGGGTCGACACTATCTAAAAATTAACAACACATCGATTTTTCAAACAATACAAATTTAAACCAAAAAAATTATTGATTTACTATAGTTAAGTACTGAGGAAATGGAAAATTTAGAGTTCGACGACATCTGTACTGTATTAAAACCAAATCTAAGAAATACATGAAATAAAAATGAGCATTGGCTGTTACACAATAGTTGTTTTTAACTAATTGTAAGTTTAATTTGAATGTAGAGAAGAAGCCTTCACTTTATTTAAATTTACCGACACGCCATCGTTCAAAAAATTTTATGAACTGGGAAATACCATCATACGCCACATGTAGAGTGAATTCTACAACAAGGAAATGCTTTGGTCAGTAGATCCAGGATAAGCTTGCTTATTATACACAATATAGGTATTTAGGCGCTTTTATAAATTGTGACATAATTGGGTACTCAAAGTTTCTAAATAAATATTTCCCTTTTACTTCTACCTTCGGATTAAATTCTTCCAAAAGCAACTTCTTACCGGACTCAATAAATTACTTGCAGCATCCTAACAAACTGTGGGTCCTCGCCTGTAGTTGAGCTTCTCAGAACAACTTTAAAAATTACGTTAGGTCCCGAAGTTTTAATTGATCAGGAAAATACTCCATCTTAAACAATTAATTAGCTTTAAACAGTATACAGATTTAAATTTGCACCACCTTAACGTTTACGACTAGTAGAAAGTGAAATAAACTTTGTCTATATCTTTTACAGATTGTGCTTTCTATGTACCTACTGTATATCACTGATTGAAAATGAATATTTAGCTACAAGTCGATATAATCCAAACCGGATATACTTTAATGTTAAATCCGTCTTCACTTTCACTTTTTTAGATATGTACCTATATATTTATACGTAGATGTTGTACAATACAAACATGACTGCCAATCTGAGAATAACAGCACGCGTGTATTTTTTCCTCTTTGTCTGACGTCACAGCCATTCATGCGGAATTTCGTTTCTCAAAATAATTCTTCAGGAGTACAATGTAGGTATAACAATAAAGTAACAACCTTGATTGTTGTTTGTCAAATCCATAGTCCGTTTCAAAATATGCGACAATCTGACTACGAATCATTTCATACGTACGTATCTGCATATTCGTATTGTTTTTAGGAGTTAACTGTTGTTTATTAAAATAAATAATCTTCTGTTGTAATGGTCTCTAACAATCCCATATCAATCATTTAATCATAATTTTGACGTATTCTAGTTGATATTAACAACAGTAAAGAAGTGGACGGGTTTAAATTCCTGTTATATAGTGTATAGTTGGTTGCATAGACATATATTCTAAACACATGTTACATCATAATAATGTTGTCGAAACTGAAATGTAGATAAGCCGTTACCAATGGTCAAATTTGAATGGGCTTAGTTAATGTAACGAAATATGATAAAATGTTAATTTCGTAAGTTTGAAAGCTTCTTTTTGTGCTTGAATGGAGATTAATACATTGCTTAAAGTAATAAAATTTGGAATTCTCATTAGTCGTCCTGTTCAACATAAATATCCATTTAAAATTAAAAATATGAGTCTGTTACGATTTAGACGAGCTTTTCTACCAGATTTGAAATTCATGAAAATGTCGCAACCCATTACATAAATCCTTTTTAAAGCTTGAAACAAAGCCCTGCATATGGGCTGCATAAAATGCTCATGAATAACCGGAGGAAAGAAGCTATATTGTCCTTACTTGCTAATTGTTGGCTTTTTGTATAGGGTAATAACAAGTTGTTTAATTCGCAGTTACTTTTAATAAATAATTAAGTCATCTCATACATATTTCATTTTTACTCCAGGTCTCATCTTTAACTGGGTTTTAGATTTATGTCGAACAATTTCGTAGTCATGAAAAGAGATGACCCTCCCCTTAATTGACCAATAATAGTGACACCATTGCACAATTGTACAACTTAAGTACTACATTGTTTTTGCCTATATTACTCCTGTTCCAGGAACTATTATAAAAATGGGAGACGAAAAGGTAAATGTCTAGGTGGTGGGATCGAAAGAGGAGGTCTCCCACACCAGTGTACCATGAAAAGTTTGTGGCGGCCTCACCCCCATTAAAAGTTATGGGGCTTGAAAGTTGATTATTTTGACAATTTTCATACACTATAATTCAATTAAAATTCAATAAAAAAAATATTTTCAAGCGAGTGGAGGTGGGGGATCGAAAGAGGGTGGTTAACCTAACCTAACCTAACCTAACCTAACCTACCCTATTGATAAAGATATTTAAATAATGTTTTATATAACATTCTCAACATTTTTATGTATTTTTCATTAGTTTTATCTTTGAATATTGTTTAAGAATGACTATATAAATATTTACATGCCTAGAAATGTATAAAAATT